ATAAGGATGAAACTCCCTCTCAAAAGTTAAAAATAAAAGAAAAAAGGGTTGAAGAGTCTCACTCTTTGGGGACATAGAGGAGTGTATGTTAACAATGGAAGAAGGGCTAAAGGTCACCAACACCCCTGAAGAATTCTCAGGTCTTTGGTAGGGGTAAATGACAGTCTGACTCAAACTCAGTTTATGTTTCAATAAATATAAGAATCCTCCGTCTACTGAAGGAGAATTTCAATGTAACCATGACGTCTACACCCTATAAAACATTAACAGTATCAATATTAATGCAAGGAAAGCTTTTTATGCCAGAATAAATGAAAATAAAGGTATGAGTTTACATATGAGACAATGTGGCTCTCAGCAGGAATGCATAAGTTTCCTCTAAACTTGCTCTGGCTCACTCATACTCTTTGTCTCCTTTCATTTGCGTTTCTGGTTTCTTTTCTCATTATCGAAACTATTTACTTGACAGATGATAGAACCCCAGCTGAAGGTGGAGTACAATTAGCATATAAACAAGATTTTTAAAGTGCTGGAACAGAGATGGACTTTAGAGCCTTATGCTCTCTGGAGACTTGACCCCAAAATAATCAAGAGAGATTGTGCTTGGGCGATCCCCAGCCAGCCCTAAAAATGCCCGTGCCTTGCCTTGGGTGATCTAGGGTGCATTATCATATAACTTGGCTGCAAGTTGCCACCAGGTCTTTCATTTGGCTTTAATACTCTAAATAAAGAGTTAGTAACAAGTACATAGTCCTTGAAATAAATGTGGTAGAGTGGAAAAAATGAAGATATTAAGACTCAGATAAGCCTAGTTCTGAACGTCAGTTGTCATGCCCAACTGTACTTCCCGTGGCAAGTTACTTCAACTCTGAATAATAATAGCAGAAGTCACCATGTAAGATAAGTCAGCAAAGGGCTAAGTATTTTATGTGCTAAATCAAAATATCCCCTACTCTACTAGTATCCTGGGGTCAGCCTCCCCTAACAAAATAGCCTGAGCCCCTAGGCAACATGCTACATCAGAGAAGTCTAATATTTTCTCCAGTATTTCTAAGATGGGCCCAAATGTTCTTCAAATTTCTTCTGTCAGCTCACCTCTTACCTCTTCTCTCCCTCTTCCTCCTGAGATGTTGTTCTCTCTCCTTTCCTCTTTCATTGAAGGTTAAATAAGGCTCCTTCTCCTTAGGCCTCCACATAATACAACACAAAGTTTTTCCCAATGGTTTGGTGATATGGAAGCAATTACAGAAAAGGAAACAGGCTGGAGTTTAATATCACAGTCTTGCCAACCCCGCTACCACTTCTAGAACCTAGGCCTAAGGCTGCCATGTACCTGGGATCTCAACCTCCCACTGTGAGCTTTCTCTCATTCTCTCAGCTACAGGGCTAGAAAACAGAAATTTTCTGTTACTTTGTTATGCAGGGCACTTTTAGACCCCCTTAGTTTTATTTCATACCCCTGAGCTTTGCCTTCGATAACCACAAACGGCCCTTTAATGTGAGTTTTCTAGGCTGAATGATATGAAGCTTTGAAATGGCAATTTTTCTTGCACTTCTGATCAGGAACCCCTCTCTTATCGATAGTTCTTGTAAGTGGAAAGGAAGTAAATAGAAAAGTAATTCTCACCCTGTCCCTAGCATAGGGGTCATGAAGTTCTGGGATTCCATTCTCCTCTTATACAGATATCACTTTAAACCTGTGAGTAAATTTAAGCCTAGAGAATTGAAATAATTTTCTCAGTGTCATAAAGCTAGTAGGTAATATTTTAGAACTCAGTGCGTAGACTTCTGCTCCCTCTTGGAAGTCAGTTGCCATGTAAAAAGTCCAACCACCTTGAGACCACCATGATGTAAGGAAGCCCAGTTAGCCATGTGGAGAAAAAAAGCCTTGTAGAGAGCATTGAGGAACCAGACATATGAATGAAGCCTTCTTGGATCTCCCAGCCCATGTTAGGCACTAGCTGAATGCAGATGAATGAGTGACAACAGCCAGTGTCATATGAAACAGAACTATCTGGCCAAACCACATCCAAATTGCTAACTATTCCTGTTTATAAACCCAAAAGATTAAAGAAACAATAGATTAAAGACTATTTGATTTGACAAACAGTTGCATTCCTTCATTTATTCATGTACAATACATTCATTAAGCATCTACTATGTGCCGGGCACTGCTCTAGGACCAGTGGACTCCACCACGGAAGGGGTAGACAAGGCCTTTTCTCAAGGAACTTCAATTCTAATGCTAGGAAGACAGACAACACGTAAAGAAACAAATCAATAAAGTATAAAATGTTGGGGGTAGGTGGGGCACAGTGGCTCATGCCTGTAATCCCAGCACTTTGGGAGGCCGAGGCGGGCAGATCACAAGGTCAGGAGATCGAGACCATCCTGGCTAACATGGTGAAACCCTGTCTTTACTAAAAATACAAAAAAAAAAAATTAGCCGGGCATGGTGGCGGGTGCCTGTAGTCCCAGCTACTTGGGAGGCTGAGGCAGGATAATGGTGTAAACCCAGTAGACAGAGCTTGCAATGAGCCGAGATCGTGCCACTACACTCCAGCCTGGGCAACTGAGCAAGACTATGTCTCAAAAAAAAAAAAAAAAAAAAAAAACAATGTGGGGGGTAATGGTAAAAATTATGAAGAAAAATAGTGTGATCCAGGGATACAGGTGGGAGCAGGGAAGGATGTTGGTCAGGAAGCAGTGTCTATTTTTAAAGTCCTCTCTGAAAAAGTGACTTTTGAGCAGCTTTGAATGAATCGAGAGGGTGAACTATGTGAAGGAATGAAGGAAGAACATTCTAAGAAGAAGGAAAAACAAATAAAAGCCCTGAGGAAGAAACAAGCTTGGTTACTCAAGGAAGAGCAAGAAGGGCAGTGTGGCTGGAGTGATAAGAGAAAGGGGTAAGATTGGAGAGACTCACAGGGGTCACACACTGGAGGGCCCACATGCCTCAGTGGGGAGTGTGGATTTTATTCTAGTGTGCTCTCGGAAGGCACTGGAGGTCTTTGAGCCATCTATCCTGGCTGCTGCGTGAAGCACAGACAACAGAGGGGAAAGCGTGTAAGCAGAGAAACTGGGAGGTTATTGTAATTGTCCAGATGAGCAATGATAGTGGCCTGAACCTGGGTGGTAAGAAGTGATAAGACACGGGATTTAGTCTGAACAGAGTACCTCAATTTCACATAAAATTATTATTCAGAGTGAATCCTCAGCTCTGAGGTTTGGAAGCATTTCCATTTTTTTAAACTGATGATTGAAAGAGCTGAGCTGAGTACTTCATCAATGCCCTGGGAGGCAATGCTTGGCATTCCAAGCCTGCCCTTTGAGTGCAGAGAGGCCCAAATCACCAGGACAGCACTCAGGTGGGCAGAGCAGAGATCTTATTGGATCCAAAGGGAAAGCCCCATGTAAGCATGCATCAAAGCGGCCTCTGCTTCTCTTCCTAGGTGAGAGATCAGCTAACTTTTCAGTCAGTCATACAACTATCATTGTGGCTGTCCTCTCTGACACCTTAGAGGAGATCTTAGTTGTTTGGCACGTTCCTTGGAGAACAATGGAATTAAACCTTTTGTAGCCTAACAAATATTCCTCAATATGCAGAGCTGATTTCTGGGGAAAAGAAGGACCAGTTGGCATATGGCATTCGGAATCTTCTGGAAAGGAAGTAACCTAGATTCCTACTCCTTCCTACCCAACATTTAAAATTACAGAAGCAGGAGTGGCCTGACCATGTTTTGTTGGCAGGAAAGGATCCTAAAGGCCCCAAAGACAAGAGGGGTGATGGGATGCCATGCTGGGGACTCAGGCTTATCACTGAGGCCTGAGGCTTATGGGTTTGAATCAACTCTGGGAGAGTGTATGGCTGAGGCAGAAAGAGGCTCACAGTGAAGTCAACAGAACTCAGGGTATTCCTTTGGGAGCAATGTTTAAGAGTGAGAGTGTGAAACTTAGGGAGCTGTACCCTTGCAGCCTAAGTGTGGATTCAACAGTACTGACAATAGCCTAGAACTTTGAAGATGCCATGGGATTGGCAAATAGTTTTCAACAGGGATACCACGTGGCAGCGGGAAACATAAAGTGCATTCGATCAGACCCTGCTTTGTCACCTATTGTGTTTGAGCCAAAAGTCTGGCTCCCTTTGGACTGAGTGACTCCCTGGTGTTCAGAAAAATGGAAGAGAAAAGGGCATCTCATGAGATCCTGGATTTCCTACAAATAAGGATAAAAGTGCACCCTGGTGATTAACTGAAGAAATGAAAAGCACCATCTACTTACTTGGTAGTGGCCACATATGCAGTATGGTATATCGTACAGCATATATATGATAAATAATATATATACCTGATATGTATGGAAAAGACATGCTGCCTTACAATCATGAAAATTTGGCAAAAGCTGTCTTTTCTGGTAGGACAATGGGTGTTTTTATTTATCTTTTTAATTGTATGGACTTTCAAATACTCTAAAAATTTTCTACATGCATTACTTTTTCCAAAAAAAGTAAATCAAATATAAAAGAAGGGAATGTTTAGCCCTCATCCTGCCAGACAAATGCCCCTGCAGGTGACCCCAGGAACTTATCACCAATGATAACTTCCACATCCTTTTGTGGCTCCTGTGATAGCCATAGGTGGTGATTCCTAGGCCAGTGAGTGGCCAGGACCTGTGCTCCCCTCAGCAGGAATCCTGGCTGGCCTGTCTTCCCCAGCCCAGAATAGGACGAATAGGAGGACCTTCCTGGCCTCCTGTTACTGATCAGGCTCCTTCCCTCTACCGTTCTGGGGACGCTAATGAGGTGACCACTCATGGGTGTCAAGAAGGGATTTCCCACACAGGCTCCTTCGTACCACATGTGGCTTTGCAGAGTTTCACTTCAGGTGCCAGGTGGCACACCCACACAGAGACAAACAGACCCTCTCTCATATGATTTGCATGACCCGGCCTATCCTCCTGGGGTCACTTCATTGTCACTAACATTTACATATGGCACTCACCTGGCCTGAGCTCTGTGCTGAAGGCTGAGATGCACGCAAAGATGAAAGCTCCGACTGTCTTCAACACATCTTCAATCTAGATGGGACCTGGGGGACATAGAAGAAAGAGTCGCTGACACGAAGTAGAACATGCTGAGGGTTAAAATAGGGATAATCTCCTGATTGACTTCCTCCCATGCCAACCAAAATTACTCCTATCTGTTATCAGGTTCAGCCTTCCAAACCTCTCCAATGAGTGCCCTCGTATCCCTTCCCACCACCTCTGCAATGGTTCAGTCCTCATCCAGCTGTTACCAAGGCTCTTGTACTGGCCTCTGACCACCATTCTTCCTTCATGCATTTGCATTGCCAGAAGGTAATCCTTCATTGCTGTGTTAGTCAGCATTCTTCAGGGAGATAGAACCAACAGGCTATATAGGGTGAGTGTGTGTGTGTGTGCGCGCGCGTGTGTGTGTGTGTCCTGTCCTTAAAAACATTGAATAGCATCCCATTACCTTCATGAGGAAGTCTTAACTCCTTAGCACAACACTTTCTTCTATGTCCCCCAGGTCCTGTCTAGATGCCTTTCCCAGTGTAACTGTAACCTATCTTTCCCACCTGAGCTCTGTCTTTAAATTTTTTCTTCCCGCGCTCCAGCCCCAAGAAGAAGGCCCCTATAGCCATCCCCCTCCCTACTTCGCTCCCCACAAACACAGCACTTCGAGAGGCCAAGTCGGGAGGATCACCTGAGGTCAGGAGTTTGAGACCAGCCTGGCCAACATGGTGAAATCTCATCTCTACTAAAATACAAAAATTAGCCAGGCGTGGTGATGGGCTCCTGTAATCCTAGTTACTTGGGAGGCTGAGGCATGAGAATTGCTTGAACCCAGGAGGCGGAGGTTGCAGTGAGCCGAGATCACGCCACTGCACTCCAGCCTTGGTGACAGAGCGAGACTGTTTTGAAAACAAACAACAACAACAACAAAAATACTCTAACAAGACCAGATTTATCAACATTCCTTAAATTCAACATAGCCTGAAATATCCTTTTCTTTAACTTCTGCTTTTCTTTTCTCTTTTTCTTTTTTCTTTTATGAGATGGAGTCTCACTCTGTTGCCCAGGCTGGAGTGCAGTGGTGCCATCTCAGCTCTCTATAACCTCTGCCTCCCGGGTTCAAGCAATTCTCCTTCCTTAGCCTTCCGAGTAGCTGGAATTACAGGCACACACCACCACAATCAACTGATTTTTGAATATTTAGTAGAGACGGGGTTTCATCATGTTGACAAGCTGGTCTCGAACTCCTGACCTCCAGCGATCTGCCCTCCTCAGCCTTCCAAAGTGCTGAGATTACAGGCTGAGCCACCTAAATTCTGCTTTTCAAAATTCTGTTCACTCTTCAGGGTACAATTCAAATGTTTTCTTTTCCACGGAGCCTTTTTCAGACTCCAGCTGGGAATTAATCCCACCTCAGACCACAACACTTGGCTTATATCTTCTTAAACGCATTCATTGTGTTATGCTTTGCCATCATCAACTTAACCTTGAGCTCCCAGAAAACAAATACCACATACCACATGTCATTTCCCTTTGTGTCCTCAACAACACAGGGCATTGCACACAGCAGACACTTCTCCTCCTCTTTGAATCAAGAAGCAAGTCATTCTTATCTTATTTTCAATAAAAGAAATATTTAAGAAGCCCCATGACTAAGGGCGTGGTCCACAGATGCCAGGTGACTGAGAGGTACCAATTGATCCAAGGATGGATATCAATCTTCATAATTTAATTTTGTTCAGTGAATTTACTTATATTGGTGTCTCTTTCCCTCCCCAATACTCCCTCTCTCTCTGTACCCACACACACAAACACACACTCACACTCACACACACATCTCCTATATATCCCATTGGTTCTGTTTCCCTGGAGAATCCTAATATGGCAATGAACTCTTAATGGGCCGGAAAATTAAGCCACTCCTGCCAGTATAGAGAGCCTGGTCCCAAGAGAAGTTGCATGTCAATACAATACAGTTTTTCATATAGGAACATGTTTTCCCTAGCTCTGACATTTCCCCCACGTGAAGGGATGTCCGTTCATGTGACATTCCTGGCCCTTCCCACCCTTCACCTGGTTGGTGAGTTGGAGGGAAGCACCAGACAGAGTCTTCCAGCCCCTTCCTCTGTTTCTTCTTATTCCCTTCTGCCTTCTTATGCTCAAAGTCTTACCTGGAAATATGTCCCCTGCTGGGACAGGGTAGGCAGATCTGCCCAATCCTGTGCTCAAATAGCAGGGTCATTTGTTTCTCACTGTAAGTTGCTTCTTCCCATGTAGCTTCTGGCAAGTAATAAAGATAATATTTTTGTCTCCCTCTTTACTGTTGTGTCTCCTGTTCAGAATCCCAGGCAGGGAGGAGGCCCCCAGGCAATGCATGTATCTTGACTTCACAGCTTCTGAAGTGTGCCTACCTAATGAATAGCCCAAGGTGGGCCCTTGGACAATGCCCAAGAACGCTGGAGTGATGGAGCTGAAGTGGTCTCAAAGGTGTCGAGTCCAGCCCCGCTTGGTACTGAGGAGGATTATTACCCTTGCTTCTACCACATGGGAGGTCATGAGGAGCAAATAAGAACATACATGTAAAAATTTCTGTAAAGCCCATTCTGGTATAAAATGCAAGGCAGAATTACTATTGTGGCTGCCGTAATCCTGTTGATGTGGGATCCCAGATACCCACTCCACCAACGTCCACCCAAGCTCCCTAAGGCCATTACATTCATGCCCTCAATAAAGACAGTTTTCCCAATCTTATACTTGGTTCCTGGCCAAACCGCTTCCAAATCTGACTTTGAGGCTTCCCTCCCTCTCCTTCCTTCTCCTCTCCTCCATCCCCTCCCTCTCCTTCCTTCCCTCCTTTACTTATCCAGGACAAGGAGATGGGGTTAGAGGGGTGAGATGTGGAGAAAGGCACAAGCATGACCCAACCTGAGGGTATTTTTCCTCCACTGCTCAAGCAGATAATGTATTTTATAGTCTGCCAGTCCCCAGAGAAAGTTGGGAGCTTTTTGGTTTTATGCCATATTTGGGTGCACTCACCTCCTTTGGGGAAAAGGAAAACATTCCAGCAGCACAGAGCAGTCCTGCCTGCACAGAAAGTCCTCCTGCAGCCTTAACTCACAAGCCCTCGGAATTCCTGTAGGTGGGGCCAGGAGACTGGTGAGTCTGTGAAAGGGACGGTGCACCTTGCTGCTGCCCGCTTCAGCTCTCTGCCAGAGAGCAACTTTGCTTCCGAGATGATAGCAGCAATCCCACCTCTAGCTCCCGGCTCCCATTTGGTGGAAAACTGTCTGAGCAAAAATCTCACCCTGAGCCAGCTGGTTTCCTTCTCTCTAGGTCAACCTCTAGAGAGAAGGGTGAAGGAAGAGGACCGAGGAGGAGAGGGGCATTTAGAACAAGAAAAGGGTCAAGAAGGGTTTTGTTCTCTTCCCAAAAGGACTGAGCCTGCAGAGCCTAAGAATTCCTCTTTACAAGCTGGGAGGATTGAGGCCACAGCCGACCAAGGGATGCCATGCATTTGGCACTGATCATCCCTCATCTGGACCATAAGAGGCCTGTGTTGCCTCAACCTCACCCCTGCTGCCAGAACATATGTGGCAAATGCTGTGACTGCAAATTCTTAAGGAACAGGGCTTTGGAGCAAGTGAGGCCCCTACTCTGGGTGGGAGTTCAAACCAAGAGACACATCTGGGAGGACACGGTCCAAGGGTGATCTGGAAGGTGCCCAAGGGAGCTCAAGGGGATCCTGGGACTAGGAGCCTGTGCTGGGGCACAGTTTGATGTTATATTTTCTCCCTTCCCAGCTGTCTTCCCCACTTTGACAGAAACAAAATATCAAGCACTATGAATGAATATTAGTCCACAAACTTGGTTGTACAAGAAATAGAAATGTCCTACAGCTTTATTTACTTTCATTTTAATGTGCCTCTGAGCCCCATTCCCTCCAGTCTGGTGAGAAATCCAGTCTGGTCATTACTGCAGCCCCCACCTACCCACTAGGGTAATGCAAAGGGCCCGGGCATCAGGTTCTCTAAGCAAGCTTGAGCTGCAAGAGAAACTTCCTTCCTGTGGAGCCTGCAGGAAAAGGAATGCAACCAAGTAGAAGAGGGGACACACTGTCACTCTGGGGAATGTTTTTAGGAACTTAATTATCATTGCTTTGTGATAACTCAGCAAAGGAAGTTTTTGAAAGAAGGATTTTGTCTTTCATTTAGAGATCCAATTCTAGTCTCCCAAATGTGATCTAAATTTTGCTTATCCATCCATTCAATAGATGCTCTTCTAGGTGCTGGGGATGCATCAGCAATGCCTGCTTTCATGAAGCTCATATTCTAGCAGGTGATGACAGAAAATAAATAATAAAGCATAATAAATCAACTGGATGGTATGGTAGAAGGAGATAAATGCTTTAGAAAGAAAATGTAGAACAAAATAAGAGAGATCAGCAGTATCGGCAAGAGAACCACTCATACTTTTAATAGGGAGATCAGACAGTTGAGTAAACACTGAAAGAGGTGAGGGAGATGAACGACCTAGACAGAAGTAACAGCCAGCACAAAGACCCTGAAGTGGGAGTGTGCCTGGGTGTTATAAGAACAGCAAAGAGGCCAGTGTGTCTGGGGCTGTCAGAGGGAACACAGGATAAAATAGGGGGAGTTGGAGTGGAGAAGTAACAGGGTCCAAGTCAGATAGGGTCTTGTAAGCCTTTTCCCCAATTTGTAATCCACCACCTGGAATAGAAATTGCCATAAGCTCCACTTCCATTTCTGTATCCCCAATCCCTGGCATATTACCTGCCCCCAGTAAATACTTGTCAAGTGGATCATTGCAGGTGCAACGCACTCATGATGTCCTACTGCATGCATCAGTGCTGAGTCATCACTGCCAACCAACAGGGGATTCCATTTCCCCTCCCCAACACTTCCATGTCCCCCTCCAACCCTGCAAGCATCCCTGATGCAATATAAGACTTAGTGTAGTCACAGCCCGTGTCTTCACCCACTCTGAAGGGGGATACCCCAGGTCTCCAGAAACCATTTTATATTAGATTCTTGTAGAAAAGGGCTGAGAATGCAGGTCATGCGACCAAAGAAACAGGTCAGCATTCTTAATTGTCATAAGTTAACTTATCTTCTGGCCCTGTACTTCCACCTTTTATGGCTCTGCATCAGCGTCCCCCTTCCTCCCTCCCTCTTCCAGAGGCCATTCAAAGAGCACTAAAGATTTCCCCAGGAAGGAATTCCTGTGCAGAGTCAAAGCATGTATAAGGCACACTAATAAGCAAGGGAGATGAGGTGTACTTAGTCTATTTTCACTTAAGACAGCGCAAGTCAGCATACCAAATTTGTCCTAGGGCCTAGCCCTGTCAGCCAACAATTGAAAGAAGAAAGGAATTATCACGCTCCACCCCACTTCTACTTTACCTCATGACCTGACAAGACCTTGCTTCTTGCCCCTCAAAAGTCAGGGCTCTACATTTCTGGGAGAGACCAGGGGTCAGATCAGGTCAGCATATTCTTACAGGACATTTCCTCCCAGAAAAAAACTAAAGCGTCACCTTTGGGCACCAGGGCTGTCGCACCTGGGAATTAGATATGATGAAACTAGGCACCTTTTAATAAAGCTTTGAAATGCTTTTCAAATTTTCAGGCCCCACCAACGTTTTTATTTGACTCTCAGAGCGGCATTAATCTTGTCTCTCCCCACATGTTCTAAAAGCGCTCTTGCATTCTCTCTCAGTCACTGCCTCCCGGGGCAGGTGCCACCTCACAAGACTAAGAAGGCAGGCCTCTGCCAGCCCCGCAAGGACTCGCAGACAAAGGAGAACAATGGGAATGAGTATAAAGGTGCTCTAGAAAGGTAAAAGCTTTAGACAAATGTTACTCAGAGGTCAGTGCAGGTCGCTATGCTCTTTAAAATATACATCTGATTGGCTCAAACCCCTATATTATGTCCAAGGGAAAAATCTAATGCCTCCCTTGAGAGTTCTGCAAATTACAAGGGAGCTTATATTCTCCTCTCACCTCTGGCCCCAATTTCCTGCCCTTGCTGAATTCTTATTCTCTGTTCTCCATAATTCTGCACCTTCTTCATCCAACCTTATCCTCTCACCTAAAAGCAATCATTTTTACAAGCGTTGCACGTTAGCAGAATTTTTATTGATGGTTTGTAGGTCATGAGGGATGGGTTACATTTTCTCACCACACAGCAAACAACCTAACATCTGATACTAGATGTCCCATTTCTTGAACATTCTCCGGGGATTTCTCACTGGCCATGCCTTAATGTGCAACACCACAGCTCCTCTATCCCTGTCTCCCCTGAGAATTCTTCCTACTTCTGGCTGAGAGCATGGTAGTTCTCTCCCCTGCCTTGCATATCTGAAGCCCATCTAGGTGTGCAATGGAACCAAAATCCTTTGGCTCCTTTAGAAGCATCAGCTTTCAAAGACAGCTGCTTTCAATGTTGATCCTTTTTCTTCATTTCGCCAATATAATGACGACTTTAATTCTAATTCATTAGAAAGCAGAGAAAAAGTCTTTCATTTCATTTATAAGCCCACTCGCTGATTTGTAGCATTCTCTGCCCTACTATCCTTTAGGCACTGAGCCTCTAATTACATTCATGGCTAATCAAGTGAACTTTCTACCTCAATCTACCTGCCCAAACAGCATCAGCACACCGCATCCTGTAAGTAATCCAAGACATTACTATGTTATAACTGCTGCAAATGTTTCTGCCACCAAGTGGTCTTAACCTGGGGTCATGGAAACCCTAAGGAAGCTAGGCACAACTTCAGGATGTCTGTGACTCTCCTAAAACTGTAGGCATTTAAGTGCATTTTTTTAAGGACAGGGCTTGTAACTTTAATAAGATATTTACAAGCATCTGCAACCTAATAAGATATTTATAGGCATCTCCAACCCCCCCTCCACCCTAAAAAGGCTTTATCCACTATTGATAGCCAGTGAGCAGGACTGTGTCAAGCTCTGCATGAACATTACAGCCTAAGGTGGTAATGTAGCCTTAAACCAGGTCACTCTTTAATTGGCAATCTGGGAAAAAGAAGAAATCATTATGAAAAGATCTAAATTTTCAAAAATACCTGCTATGGAAGTCGTGAAAAATCAACAGGAGTTAAAGGCAGGGAAAATAAAAATATTACAAAAATGTTAAGACAGATCTTTTAAAAAATGTAATTCAATAAGCTAATGCCCAAGAGCTAATGCCTTTTCTCAGACATTGACAGAGTAATTCTGGAATGCAGAGACTTACTCCTGTATTTCACACTCTGAAGAGTCTGGTTTTATAACTTAAAAATATTAACCATAAAAACAAAGATGAACCAGATACAAAGATTTATTGTATCCATTGGAAATGGGCTTAGCTCATATAAAACAATCGACACAAAGGTAAGGATAGATGGAAGCCTAGAGCCAATTAAAACTAAATGGGAAGGAGATTTAAGTCTGAAAACTGGAGATAAGGACTGGCAATTATCCTGTCATCTAGCCAAACCCACAACTGCTACTATTCTGGGTGACTTGATGTACTTTTAATTATCATATCATGTGTTTGAATCTAGCTTTAAAAAATTGACTGTTAAAAAATATTAAGCTCTTTTCCCAATGAATTGGGGGGAGAAATATTCCTTTCTGTCCACATGGTTTCTCTACACAGAGCCACAGTGGTGCAGTGCCATTAAAACTGTATCATAAACTACAGAGAAAGAACGTTCACCATCTCCTGATCTGTGTTTACCTAATATTAATTCTCAGTTGAATGTGGAAATGGTTAGTTTTGCCTCATTTACACTGTTGATAGTCTTACACCAGATTACAAGAAAATAGATGAGAAAGAAGACCCTTAAATGGTAAGTAGCTTAAAAGTCTTAACTAAACTTGCCCAGTGGGATACAGCACTACTTTTATGTTCTGGGCAAGAGGGTCCCTGCCCCAGACCTATGTGTTAGAGGGTCTCCTATTTCTCACATTATACACATATCAACTTACTGAAGATAATATGAACACCTCTGTCACGTGGGATCTGGTGCTCGACTCTGATGCAGAGCAACCCACAACCCTAAACATTCACTCTTGTTTCTAGAACTCTTTGGGCCTCAGGGAAACATTTCGCATCTCTTGCCCATATCCTTGAAACAGAAGGCAGCTGCATCTGAATGCCATGAAGGTTTGTGGGGTTTGTCCTGCGGTGAACCATAGGGACAGTTTGAGCAGCAGAAGCACTTAGGTGTAAAAGACAGATTAACTTGTCAAATTCTTCCTTTCAGCTTAAATGCAATACTTCTTGCATGGCAAATCATTGTTTCCTAATAGTGCCAGATGTCTATTTTCTTCCTTCTCTTTATATTCTAATTTGAGGTTCCAGAAATATTCACAAATTAGCACAGTATTTGCAACAGATGCAGGTAGAAACTGAGGTGTATTTTGCAATATTAAACAAATCATATTGCCCTTAAATTTGTATGTAGGAGTGATCTATATGCTACCAATATTTTTATTGTCAACTAAACAGATTTTGAATACTAAAACTATAAGTTGTTTTAATTTCTATAAAAACACTTAAAATATATAATTAAATTGTTTAAAGTTAAGTTAAAATTCAGCTTCATACAAAATTTTTATTTAAAGTATTTGCATTCAATACTTCTACTTCCAGGAAGATGGAATAGACATACGTAGACATATCTACGTCTCCCATTAAGTACAACCAAAAACCTTGGAAATTATATATAAAATGAAGATAAAAAGATACTGAAAAGTACAGTGAGGAAAGCAGACTGGCTAAAGACTCCAAAGCCCAAGGAATAAGAGAGCAGTGAGTTCTCTGGATTTCTTTTTGCCTCATATATCTCAGATTTGGAGCTAAACAAAATAACAACCCAGAAGCATCAAAAGGCACGGACCAAAAAAAAAAAAAAAAAAAAAAAAAAAAAAAAACCTACAAAAGGAGCAGCGTAGCATGACAGGAAAATTTTACGTAATAACCATTCCTCTCTCATCAAACACCACAGAAAATAAACAAACAAACAAAAGCCTGTGGCCCACTCCTACCTGTGACAGCAAAGTCCAAGTAGGAGCCATTTCTCTACCGTTGAGAGACTGTAATGAGGTGTCTAACACATCTGCTGGAGTGGTGTCAGAGAAGGTCACATAGGCAGCTGAGACTTTCATCTCCACTTGCCAGTAACAAGTTTCCCAATCCACCTCTCACCATGGTGTCCATGGAGACAACATTGGAAGCCTGAACTTCTACCCTCTCATCCAGAAGTTACCAAGAAGCTCTTTTCCTCTCCTCTGGGGTGGTGCTGGTGGAGGCCACATAAAGAGTCCAAACTTTCATGACTACTGAGCAGTAAAAGAAGGCACCTTTACTGCAGAATCAATGGAGATGACATGGGGAGCCAGAGCTCCAATCCTCACCTCACAGTAATAAGAAGCAGCCCCCTCAGGTGTCAGTTGTCAACAGAGAACAAAGTAAAGAACATGGTCTTTACCTTCACTTTGCAATAATAAGGTGGTGACCCTCACCCCTGTCCCCTGTACAGTGGTACCAAAAAGGCCAACAAAACAAGAAAGTTTAAATAAAATAGAGTCTCAGACCATGATATGAAAATGTTCAGGTTTCTATTGAAAATCTTTCCTCATACCAACAGCCAGGAACATCTCAAACTGACTGAAGAAAGACAATCATCAATAAATGCCAATGCTGAGATGAAATAGATATTAGAATGGTCCTACAAAGATTTTGGAGCAGCTACCCAAATTGAAAAGTAAGAATTTAAATTATCCTTGTTTGCAGACAGTAAGATCTTATATTTGGAAAAACCTAGACTCCACAAGAAAACTATTATAACTGATAAATAAATTCAGTTTGCAAAACCAGGATACAAAATCAACATATAAAAATCAGTAGCATTTCTATATGCCAACAGTGAACAATGTGAAACATAAATTTAAAAAGTAATCCCATTTACAAAAACCACACATAAAATTAAAAACCTAGGAATTAACCAAACAAGTGAAAGATCTCTATAATGAAAACTATAAAACACTGATGAAAGGCCGGGCGCGATGGCTCAAGCCTGTAATCCCAGCACTTTGGGAGGCCGAGGCGGGCGGATCACGAGGTCAGGAGATCGAGACCATCCTGGTTAACACGGTGAAACCCCGTCTCTACTAAAAAAAAAAAAATACAAAAAACTAGCCGGGCGAGGTGGCGGGCGCCTGTAGTCCCAGCTACTCGGGAGGCTGAGGCAGGAGAATGGCGTGAACCTGGGAGGCGGAGCTTGCAGTGAGCCAAGATCCCGCCACTGCACTCCAGCCTGGGCGGCAGAGCGACACTCCGTCTCAAAAAAAAAAAAGAAAAAAAACACTGATAAAAGAAATTGAACAGGACACTTCATGGATTGGAAGAATCGATATTGTTAAAATGTTCATATTACCCAAAGCAATCTATAGATTCAATGCAATCCCTATCAAAATACCAAAGACATTCTACAAAGAAATAGAAAAAACAATCTGAAAATGTATATGGAACCAGAAAAGACCCAGAATAGCCAAAATTATACCAAGCCAAATAAAAAAAAAAAAACTGTGCAAATCACATTACCTGACTTAAAATTATGGTACAGAGCTATAGTAACCAAAACAGTGTGGTACTGGCATAAAAATCAACACATAGACCAATGGAACAGAATAGAGAACCCAGAAACAAATCCACACACCTAGAGTGAACTTATTTTCAACAAAGGAGACAAGAATATATGCTGGGGAAAAGGCAGTCTCTTCAATAAATGGTGCTGGGAAAACTGGATATCCATATGATCCATATGCAGAAGTTGAAACTAGACCCCTCTCTCTCACCATATACAAAAATCAAATCAAAATGGATTAAAGACTTAAGTTGATGACCTCAAACTATGAAACTACTACAAAATATTGGGGAAAATCTCCAGGATATTGATCTGGGCAAAAATCTCTTGAGCAATGCTCCATAAACACAGGCAACTAAAGCAAAAATAAACAAATGAGATTGCAACAAGTTAAAAAGCTTCTGCTCAGAAAAGGATACAATCAATAAAGTAAAGAGACAACTCACAGAATTGGAGAAAATATTTGCAAACTACCCATCTGACAAGGGACTAATAACCAGAATACATAAGGAGCTCAAACAACCCTGTAGGGGAAAAAAAAAAAAATCTACTAATTAGATTTAAAAATGGGCAAAAGATTTGAATAGACATATATCAAAAGAAGACATACAGATGGCAGACAGGCATATAAAAAGGTGCTCAACATCATTGATCATCAGAGAACTGGAAATTAAAACTACAATGAGATATCATCTCACCCGTTAAAAAGGTTTATATCTAAAAGTCAGGCAATAACAAATGCCAGTAAGGATGTGGAGGAAAGGGAACTCTTGTATGCAGTTGGTGGGAATCTAAGTTAGTACAACCACTATGGAGAAAGGTTTGGAAGTTCCTCAATAAACTAAAAATTGAGCTACCATTTGATCCAGCAATCTCATTACTGGGTATACACTCAAAAGAAAGGAAATCAGTATATAGAAGAAATATCTCCACTCATGTTTGTTGTAGCACTGTTCACAATATCTAAGATTCAGAAGCAATCTAAAAGACCATCAACATAATTTGTATGTATTTTCAAACTTTAATATAGAATTGTAAATTCTTTAGAAGAAAACTTTTCAATAATGTACCTGAAATATAATGTTAACTCTGCCCTGTAACCTGTACATTGATTTTGGTACCTAACAGTTGCTTCTGTGTCTTTCTTCCTCTTCAAATCTGCAAATGACTTGGGGGTTATTATCCATCTGTGTATTATCCATCTTTGCATTTCCAGTACTTTAAATACTGCCTGGCACATATCAGGTAGTTAATAAATATTTGTGGAATGGCTGAATATCCAGCTTAAATGATTCTTCCAGTCTGTTGATTTCCTTGGTCTCCCCTTTTCTCATCCTTCCTCCTATATATTTAATTTCTTACTCTCCTGAAGTCCCTTAGACTTTTTTCACATAACTAATATGGAATTAATATATCATCTTGCAGTCAGCTCTGTGCATACTTGCCTAAGAGTTCCTCACAGGTGAGTAGTGTGCATTTTTTAGGCACTTTCTAGACACATCAAAGGGCGCAAAATTGATTGACAAATGAATTAACAAATGAATGACCATGCAATACCTTATATATTATACAGTATTGATAATTTTTTTTGCTTTATTCCAGGACCTTTTATACATATACACACACATACAAAGAAAGAGACAGTAAGACAAAAAAAACCACATAACCCACAAGGAAGAGCCCTGTTTAAGCAAAAGCACAAACTAAAAAGAATGAATATACGGTTGGAACCACTGCACAGCTTTTGAGTTTGGGGTTAGTTCCTGCAGATTATTCTTTGGGACTGATAGAAGGGGGCGGGTGTGAAATCTTCATATCATGCTGCTTAGAGAGAAATCCCAGTATGAGTCCTATTTTTCACACACCGGGAGAAAAAGAGACACAAACATATGTTAAAATCACCAAATGACACATTTTAGTTTTATTCACGGTCCCAGCCTTGACAAATTTACAATCTACTTTCAGCTGTAATCTTTCCAAACATTTGCCTTTAATACAATTTGGCTAGTTCAATGTAATAAGAAAATAATATGTGGGAAAGAGTGTGAGCTTTGCTTCAGATGGGCCTGAATTCAAGCCCTGGGTGGTCCTTTCTAGTTATAGGAAACTGCCATCTCTGAATCTGTTTTCTTAGCTGTAAAATGTAGTATTAGAGCATCAACCTGTGGGATGGGTGTGAGAATTAAATAAGATAATGTATGTAAATTGTGAAGCATAATGCCTGGCACATAGTAGGCCAATAAATTTTAACTGTCCCTTTCCCTGTCAAAGGCACCAGTCTCTGGGTTATCAATTCCAAAACACCTTCACATGAAACATTTTTCTCATTTAAACCGTATTAGAAACCAAAGTTATAACACCAGGAAAATACTTAAGAAAAGTATGATATGCTTAAAAAATGTTATGTTAGATACCCCACAGGGCTCTCAGTAAATACTTGTTGACTGACAAATGTGTAGTCAGAGCATAAAATCACATAGATAGAAAGAGAGAAAAAGTAATTTGGAATCTGCACAGGATAATGATTACACTTCAATAAGTATTTGATTTTTTTAAAGCAAAAGTAAAGGAAACGGAAAATCATTTTTTAAAAAATCAAGTTTTCTTTTATAGCCACAAGTTTATATAAACACCTATAGGCACAGCACCGAAAATACTGGCAACTTATTGGAAAAAAACTGCTGCATTAGAAGCAAAAGTGTTCCAAATATAGAGGGACGTGTGTATTCACGACATGTGACCACCTCTTTCCAAATGACACTGAAATCACCACCCAATGCACCCATGACTAAAGAGCCTGCTAGAACATTTCCTAGAACATCATTGCCCTGAAGACAGGGTTTACCTAACAAATAGTTATTAAGATTCCTGTACCATGCTAGGCTCTGGAACACCATGACGGACAGATCATGATCCTTGCCCTCAATTAGAGAGATAGTCCAATAAATAAATAATTGACAACAGGGAGTGATTAGCTGTTCCGAAGGCATGTATGACGACACATGGTGGCACAAAGAAAAGAGTGGTCTGTTTTACCTGAAGGATTAAGAAATATTTTGCAAACATAGTAACAATTGAGCTGGACCTTCTTAAAAGATAAGAAACTTGCCATGCCAACAGAAGGAAAGGGTAGTCCATGCAGGGAGAACCTCCTGGAAAAGGCTGAAATTATGGGGTAAAATCGGGGAACTGTGGATAGTGCCATAAACTTTGGGACATTCACAAAGCATACATTATGTATGTGTATATATTGTCTAACATGTATAGTATAAACATATGTTAATATACTTGTGCACTCAACAGCAAATAATTATTCCCATTTTGTTGATGCATGCACCATACCCTTTCCCTCCCTATTCTGTGATTCACCTAATCACTCATCAGATTCACCTTATCATGTTAATTTTAACACCTGAAATGTAACCAGTTATAGATCATTAAATGGCCCTCAGTCATCGATACCTTGTTTTTCACAGGTTC